GCTGTAGCTCAAGTGGTAGAGCGCTCGCCTTGAGCTGAAGAGCTGAGGGACAGCGCCCAAGCCCAGAGTTCAAGACCCATGACCAACAACAACAACAAAAAAAACAGGGCTGGGCACAGAGTGGCTGGAGACACAGGCTAGAAAGCTCACTGTGAAGCCTCACCTTACGTGAAAATTTCAGATTGTATGTGAAGAGTAAGTGTAAAGCACAAGGAAGTAGGGGATATGGCTCAAGTGGCCATATGTTCAAACACTAGTCTTTTCCCTTTTAAAAAAATCTTAATTTGCTGGGCTGGAAAGGTGGCTCAGTGGTAAAGCACTTGCCTTTCATGCATGAGGCTCTGAGTTCAATTCCTCAGCACCAAAGAAGCAAAAAGAAAAAAGCCGGAAGTGGCGCTGTAGCTCAAGTGGTAGAGCCCTAGCCTTGAGCTGAAGAGCTGAGGGATAGCGCCCAGGCCCAGAGTTCAGGCCCCACGACCAGAACCCCCCCGCCAAAAATCTTAATTTGCTAAGGAAAAATAGGATCTTAAAAATAAGAATTTGTTCTTTTAGTGTTTGTGTACCAAGAGCTAAATGTGTACAGCTCATAGACTGTTAGCTTGTATTACTGGAAAATGAAAACAAAACTACTTTGGTCCTTTCTTTTTCCTATAGGAATTTTTTTCTTCTTTTCTTTTTGTGTCATTTTGTGTGCTTACTAAGGCTTGAACTCACTCCATTCATAGCTTGCATATTCTACCACTTGAGTCATGCCTCTAGCTCTGACTTTATACTGGTTAATTGATGACAAGAATCTCTCAGATTTGTTTGTCTTGGTTACCTCCAAGCTCTGATTTGTAGATCTCAGACTCCTTAGTAGCTAGAATTATATGTGTGAGCCACCTATACCAAGCAAGAAAATCCTTTTAAAAATTCAGTTACAGTGAATTTTCTCAACTCACGTTGCCTGTTGATCTTCCCTAATAAATCATGTAGCAGTCTACATCAGTTCGGTGTAAGCTTTTCTGTTCTAAATCATGGGAATTATAGTGTAAATTTATTCATGATAGATATTTGGACTTGGTTGTCTAGATGGTTTAGAGCTTGTTTGTTTTTCAGTGTTTGAAAAATGATGCAGCTTGGGCTGGGAAGGTGGCTCAGTGGTAGAGCGCTTGCCTTGCATGCGTGAGGCCCTGGGTTCGATTCCTCAGAGGCCGAGAGTTCAGGCCCCACGACTGGACTCCCTCTCCCCCCACAAAAAAAATGATGCAGCTGAATGTATCACTAAAATTAAAAATTCCCCTGTGAAAGCTAAGGTAGAATAAGGAATATATTGAAAATATGCTTGTCACTTCCAAGTAATAGAATGAAAAATGTATGTTGTGACCTGCTTATTGTTTATATTAACATTTTATCCTTTATTATCGTAACCAAGATAATTTTGCTGTAACAACTCTCAGGGGAGATTTAATCTTATTCTGAGACTCATAACAGCTGCTTTTAAAATTTGATTACAAAACAAGAAAATTCTTAATTTTACAGAAACTTTTTTATATGGTAAAGCCAGATATTTAAATTAGGTCAGTATTTTTACTTATTCTTAATTCAAACTTGAATGTTACAATTAAGGAGCAATTATTAAACTGAAATGTTTTGCTATTGGCATAAAGTCAGCAGAACCAGGAACGTTCACATTAATCTGGTTTTTAAAGAAATACTAGTATTAATGATCATCATAAATCCTTTCTTTGTTTTTTAAGGCAAGAGGAGCAGATGTTCCAGAGATTCCTGGAGATCTTACTCTTAAGACATGTAGCAATACAGCGAGTATGAAGGTTAATAAACATGTAAAAAAGTAAGTATAGTTTTTGTTTTATTTTTGGTTTTTGTGTTTTTGTCGATCCTGGTGCTTGAACTCTGGGCCTGAGAACTGTCCCTCAACTCTTCAGCTCAAGGCAAGCGCTCTACCACTTGAGCTACAATACTGCTTCCGGTTTTCTGGTGGTTTTATTGGCTTTGAACTGTGAGCTTCAGATCTCAGCCTCCTGAGTAGCTAGGATTACAGGTGTGAGCCACCGGTGGCCGGCATATAGTTTTTTTTCCTAGATGAATTTCTGTAAATGGAAATTTTTTATCTCTGATGAGATTTTTGTTTGCTTATGAAATAAGCTCATACTATACGTACAGTAAATTATACTGTTAAGACGAAAATGATGATTCAGTAATTAATGGACCAAGCCTGCAGATTATTTACCTTTTTTAAAAAATATATTTTATTTTTTGTCTTGAAATGTCAGTGTCTGTTAGTTTACATTTGTAGACCAGTAATAATCAAAGCATGTGTTTCCTTTTTGGTACCTGCAATGTATCCTTTCATTCATTTTGAAAAATTAGCTTTGTTGGTTAAGTTAGGGGATTGTTAGGTGTTAGGTTTGTTTTGGGGAATCTTGAAGTAGATGCTAAGAACTGACTGTTAAATAAAACAAATACTTAAAATTTCCCCTGGTTTTAGGGAAACCATCTTTTTACTCAGTAAAGAGGGGTTAGCTAGTTAGCTCTTCTTCTTTTGTAAGTAGAGGAAAGAGAAGGATAAAAATGTCCATTCTGTATCCAGGTCCACCACACCAGGACTGATGGGCTGTGACAACATTCACAGGTAACATCCTGTTTGTACTTTGCTTTGTGAATGCTGCTTCTCCTTAGAAGCTGGAGGGTCACCACCAGTTTTGATAGCATTTGCCAAAAGTACAAAAGCTTTTCTGTAGGCATTGACTTGGGCAAGATTAAGAAAGTACAGTGATGGTTTTTATTTTTCATTTTTGGTTAGCTCTTTGTACTTAATACATTTGATTTAGGTATTTCTGAAAAGTTTTATGTGGATGTTTATGGCTTACCTGCATGCACTTAGCAGGTTTTTTTTTGCATTTCATTATCTTTAGTTGCACAAAAGAGTTGATATTTTAACAAAACAGTTTATGAATATACTATATCTTGTTAGTAAATTGTTGGTTTGCATGACCTCTTAATATTATGTTTTTCCCTAGATGTGGTAATTTAGACTATTGTACTTTGTGGTTTCATATTTATTTTCATGTACTTCAGGTTACCATTCACGAAGGGTCACTTTCCAAAGATGGCTGAATGTGCACATTTTCATTATGAGAACGTTGAATTCGGCAGCATACAGGTATGTTTGATACAATTACATCCTGAATCAGAGTAATGGGTGTGGCACTTCCAGGTAGTTTTTTCTATTGGATGAGATAAAATATTTTATCTTGCCTAATACTGACTAGTATTTGATGCTAAGTTAACACGTAGTATCAACAACCGTACTAACATACATCAGTTAAGGAAAATCCATACTCCCACACTCTCTCTTGTCTTGTATTATGTCTTTGGGTTTCATTGTGGCTTTCACTTCTGATTTATATAACCTAGCTAATCACTAATAGGTGATTATTAATCACTGTAGGTACTGACACTTGGTAGGTTACAGTGCTCCCATTTGATTCTTTTTCTGAGTTATCTTGTCTGTCATTAGCATTTACATTCACATATAATTATAGAATTTAACTTGTTGACATTGAACTAAATACTTTGCTCTTATTATCAGTCATTTTCACCTTAATGTGAAAAACCTATAGAAAAAATTTAAAAATTAGGCAGATAAAAATTGTTTTATTTCCTAAGGGGATTGAACAAATGGCATTCTTCATTTTACCTGTTTTTCAAAATTGACTAAAAGAAACAAACACTTTTTTATTTTTCCAACACTACATAGAGAGGTTCTCTACCTTGTGCCTGTCTCTCTAACTCTGTTTTTTCTGGAAGAGCCTATCTTTCTTGAGGTGCAGGTAGAGACATTTTAGCATAGAATCTACTGTTACCTTCTGATGCTGACAGGGTTTAGGGCTTGAGGCCCAGGCTCCTCCCTCAGCTCCATATGGCCAAGCCCAGCCTGTCAGAAAGCAGCTCCTGAGGGCAGGATGGCATGCCCTGCCACAGGATATCCAACCTATCACTGGTTACAGCGTTGCAAGACTATCCTTCTCCATATCCAGAAGGCACTCAGACACTCGGACGATCAGGGGCAATACTGAGCCCCTCCTTCAGGCAGACAGAATTAACGAGACAACTAGTTTCTAGTCAGCAGCATTTATACTTAATCATTTCAGTGAACCAAACTTAAACAGACAACATAGCTTAAATACAAAAACACAATTTTATTTTGTGAAAAATATTTAAAAGTTGGGGAGGCTTGGGGCCAGGAGAAGGCTGGAGAGGATCCAGTTGCAGACAAGTAACTAAAGTCCAAGTTCCACCAGTCTCCTGATAGGCTGGGGATGCTCCCCTGCAACCAAGATAAGTTTGTGGGAGAGCATCCATGCAGTGAAGGTCTTTGCTTTCCTGAGCTGCCAATCCTTAAATGTCAAAATACCTGGGCCATAGTTCTCAGTCAGAACTGTGGTCACAAAATTGTGTCAGTTTCCATCTTGATTTAGCCAGGCCCAGGAGACTGAAGATAGTTTAGGCCACAGTGGCAACATGTCTCCTCCACATAACCACTTCAGAAATGTGTGGTGCTAGAGAGGGAGATGTAACCCATGGGGTAGTGCATGGTTGGTGGGTATGGAAGGAGGCACTGGAAGGCTCGATCAGCATCCTGTGTGCTCTGGGAGCTTCTTTACTGGAGTTGAGGACTCTGAACTGGGGCAGGGGATGCAGAGCAGTGTCCACTGTGGTCTTTAAGCAAAGCAAGATTCATGGTTGTATAATAAGGAACAAATTCCACAGGTGACTCAAGAGGATAAAGGAGCAAAATTGGGGCAAGAGAATCCCTGAGGAACCAAACAACTGTTTGAGTTAAGGCTTGGGCTTCTGTAACTGCCACTTCCTGCCCTTCACCAAGGCAACTGCTACCTCTAGGAGGAACACCACTGAAGCTTGGGCTTGGTTTGCTTCATGGAAGGTCAGAGGGTCAGAGGTTCTTTCTGGCAGGTGCTGGGTCCAGATTTCTGCAAAGGATGTGTAGCAGAAAGGGTAGTAATGGAGTCCACTTCTTGTGGTTGTGCTTCCTTTGGGCCTCCAGTATCTGTCCAGCATCTGGGGTTTTGTACCCTGCACCATCGACAAATGAAGGTGCCACATCCAAAAGGTTGAACACCTGGGAAGCCTTGGTTGTACGCAACAACATTGAGAAGGCGAGACTGCTGTCTACTACCCACAAAGGATTAAAGGTGCCTGCGACTGCACTGCGTCTGGCTTAGAAGCTGAATGCTCCACACGTGTTACTGGTGCCTGGGATGGCTACACCCAGTCCAAAGTTCCAACTACCAGCTGGGCTGCTGAGCTCTCAAATAGGAAAGGATGAGTAGACCTGCCAGTAAACTACTAGTCCCCCGGTCATCTGGGTGAAGTCTGCGAGGCAAGAGGGGCTTGACATGAAGGAAGACATCATGCTGGTGCCTCTGAAGGTGAAATGCATACTGGCAGAGATGTGGAAGGTAGAGACTGTGCCTTCTGGAACATTCCAAAAGGGAAGAAGCTGCCAGAGCTCTGGGCAAAGGCTGGCCTGATACTGATGTCCCTATATGGCCCCAAATGGTTGAGTGTGGGCCCCTTCATAGTCCTGGAGAGTGGACAGGACATCAGAGATATAGGGAAAGTTAAAGATAGGGAAAGTTGAAGATAGGGTTGGTGGTGTTAGGGAAGTCAGGTACTGTTGGTGGGTGTTGGCAGCGGGTATGGTGGGGAGTGGACTTGGGAAAGCACTATAGCTGGTTTTGCTGCTACTGTTGGCCACAGAAGTGACACTGGAGAGGTGCTGGCTAGAAGAGGTGGCAGCTGCTGAGGGCTTCAGGTCTCTAGGCTTACTTAACTGAAATACAGTGGTGGGGGGAGCCCGAGACAGGAATGCCTGGGAGGAAAAAGTGGTAGCACTTGCCATAACATTCACCCCAGGGTCAGATGCAGGCTTGGAAGCTCAGTTTTTGGCTGTTGCTGAGGATCTCAGGTCTGGAGGATTGCTGAAATGGAATATGAGAAAAGGGGGAGCACCAGAGGGGAGAGGCTAGGAAGAGGATGTGATGGAACTGGCTACAGCATTTACCCCAAAGCTAAATGGCAGCCTTGGAAGCTGAATCATTAGATGAACTGGCAGTGTTGACAAAAGCTATAGTAGAAGGAGCAGTGGCTAGAAAAGGTATAACCAAGTAGCTGGTTGCTTGGAGAAGAAGGTTGTTGACGAGGTCACAGAGCTAGGTGGCCATGTGTTGCTAAAGACCCTGTGGGTCTTTGTGGGGAGGATAGAGGTAGAGTGGCACTGCCACTATCACTTTTATGTGAAGACAGAAAAGGGATCTGGAACATGGGACAGGCAAAAGACAAGTAGAGCTGTAGAGCATGAAAGGTCGGAAGGCAGGTAGCATGGCACCACAAACAGCATCATTGGGCTGGAGTGGGGAGTGGGGCAGGGAGTCCTTGGCTATAGCTGGTGTCTCAGCCTGAGGGGCTGCAGGTGTCTTGGTGTCAATGACTTGGGTCCTGAAGAATGTCCCAGGAAAGCATCAGAAGAATTGTTCTGTTGCAGTTCAGGCAATGAAGTGCCTATAGGGACCTGAGAAAGGCTGGGTGTCTTGGGAGATGCAGGGGCTGAAGTGTTGGCTGCTCCAGCTGTTTTGGGGAATACCTGCGTGTCTCTGCGATTCTCCATGTTATTCTAGCTCTCCAACAGACAGTTAGTGTCTGGATCTGGGAGGGAGGCTGGTGAGAAAATAGGGCCTGAGAGTGGATGAGGCACCAGAGTTACAGGAAAGGTTGAAGATGAGGGTGGTGGTACTTCCAGTAGCACACATAGTAAATGTGAACAAAGGCTGAGTGGTGGGTGGCTTCTCGGTGACAGAACTGGAGATGCCATTGTCCTTATCCTATAAGGTCTCTTTAATTCTCAGCAACCTTGCTCTCTTTTCTTGGTCCATATCTTCAACAGTTATGGCATAGCCAAGCTGGGGAGCTGGAGGCATGGTCAGTCAGGCCCTTCTCCTGAGGTGCAGCTGCAGTTGAGCCTTCTGTTTATGGGTCCCAGACCTCCCTTTTGTGAATAGCAAAGTCCGAGTTTGGCTGCTTCAGCTTGTCTATGTCTGGGACTCTTTCTTCCTAGAACAACTTGTCTGTCACCTTGTCTTCAGACACTGTCTGAAGTTGAAAACGTGAAGGAAGACACAGGTCCTCTTCTCTTGCTTTTTTTTTTTTCTATTTGGCTGGCCTCTCTAGTGTCTGGGGACAGGAGAAGGTAGGGCTGTTCCTCTTGGACAGCTGTGAGATGCTGCTGCCTACAGTAGAGCTGTATGAACTAGTGATGACATTGTGGTCACTGAAGCCTAAGAATGCCAACTGTGTATGTGCTTGTCATGGAGCATGATTGCTGATTCAAGGGGTCATCTGAGCTCTTGGAGGTGAGATATGTCTTCTGGGCCTTGGGCTTAGGCCACCAGGGATTCACCAGCCAAATGTCTACCGCCACTGCTGCCATTATCTTCTCTGGAATTTTTTTTTAACCATAAAGGAATATTTGCCTTTCCTCCTAGGTCCTCTTCTTCCTCTCTGTAAGGGCATTGGATGCTGGCTCCTTTGCACATGGCTCTGGGTCTTATTTCCTGTGGAGGACAGAAAGAAGTTGCTTTTCTGACCTGGTGCTTGGATAGCACAGTACAGTAGTTTTGTGCTGTCCCTGGGTTGTACACCGTCCTGCTTGTGACAACCTTCTTGTGACCTTATTCATCCCAGCACTCTTGGGCAGTGACCCAGAAGATGTTATCATGTCCCACCTGGGGGGAAGGGGAAACCGTTGGAGGCTCTAAGATCAGAGAGGAGCACATGCTAGACATGCTGGACCTGAAGGGGCAGTGATGGCCGCAGGGAGTGTGCAAGGGAGTGTGAGGCAGCCAGGCCTCTCCTGCACACGAGGCCTCCCTCAGGGAACAGTCTGGGATCCAGTATGGCTGGACAAGCTGGCTTAGGCAGCTCTTAGGCTTGTCCATAGCAAATATGCTCAGCAAGTAGGGTCTGTGGCTCTAAGTTTCCTTGACCATGGTCAGCTGGGATAGAGACAAGGCAATGTCAGAAGGTTTGCTGATGTGCTGAGTTCTGATGAAATAAGGACCAGGTCCTCATCATGGCTCTGTC